CGTCCCCTTTGGGGATTCCCCAGCAACGATGTGCCCTGATGATGTGCCCTGGCTGGGCTACGTTTCGCAATCGAAGTTCTCGTTCCCTTTCAGGGTTACGAAAGACCATATGCTTGTATTCAGGCGATTGATAGCATCTTGGGCAAACTAGCACATCTGGTGTATGAGGAAATTTGAAGGGCTTTGTGTGTGTGCACGTGCACTGTTCAACTTGAAGAATGACAACGTCCCTTGGAAATTGGGTATTTCGGACCGTCTTGAATTGTTTACAACATTCTCAAGGATGCACTACAATACAAGTTCCTCTTGGTGTGATCGCAAAACTGTGGGGGCTTTCTAGTTTTGTCAATTCCTTCGCTAGGAACACTCCTTTTATTACAGCCTCCAGGTTACCCTCTAAATCCCTGAGATGGGGTAGGCGTGGCTGCATACTTCAACCTAACGTGGCGGTGGCTGTGCCTTTGGTGAGATATTTTCATTTTGACTCAGTTGTGGTCATGTCTCTGTCCAACACTGACCAAGATGACACTTTTCTCAATCTGAAATAGCCAACGAGTAACCTGTTCTATGCCATGCTCAAATGCCACGCCCACTCCGTCTCAGGGATAAGAAGTGTATGTAGGTGTTGTGAATATAAGTTTATAGCATGGTGTTCCATGTAAGCGTCTGACGGGAAGAGACGCTACTATCACAGCGGTGGGGGGATGTTGTTTAAGTCATGGATCTGTTGAACTGAACCCCATGCACTCTCCATGGATCAGGCTTTACCGGTCGGGCGTAGATCATGACATCCGAGGCGCAGCCACACCCCTTCTTGCTCTCAGATTCGAGATGTACACTGGCTGATCTTATTGTTAGTCCCTTTCGAAGTGCGACCGCTAACACTATTCTATTTGTTCTAGATGATTATACGAAACTGAGAACATGTTTTCGGTGTATCATGGAGGCGATGTGGACTTTCACGGTCATGCACCCGATCGATAATCGTGCCAGGCATGGGGTCGACCGCGTATAAAATAGCTAGCTTTCCACAGATGTCATCTTATTTCGTTGAACGAGGCTCAATATGAATTTGGTATGCTCCCGTTGCAGCGTGAAGGTACACTCGAAATCCCTAAATAGGATTCGAGTGGCAGCCTTTGGCTCAGATTATCGCTCGGGTCTCTTCAGGTTGAAGGCAGGTATACTCGAAATCCCTGAGATCGGGTAGGCGTGGCTGCGTGCTTCAACTGAACCTGAATGGCTGTGCTTCTGGTGAGGTATTTCATCTTGACACGATTGTTGTCGTGTCTCTGCCCAACATAGAACAAGATGACAGTTGTCCCAGACTGGAATATTCCCGAGTAACCATTCCGTGCCATGTTCAAATGCCACGCCTACTCTGGCTCTGGGATAAGGAGGTACCTTCACAATACTGCCTGTCTCACTGTAGAAACCTCAGGGACTCTTCCATTACTTCCACCCAAGGTTGAGAGGAAATCGAGGCACTGAAGCTTCTCGTCGACCTTTTATGAACCTTTGCCGCCACGCACTCGTGCTTTCCTCAGAATCGTTCGGGACTTTTATAGGTTTATAAGGCTAATAGTGGAATATGGACTCTGGGAGATCAAACAAACAAATCTTTGAATTAGCTGACGGGTTCCTAGTCGTACTAAGACAAGGGTAATTTGTAGCCATATTGTAGTTAATATGGATTTATCCAAGTAATGTGAAAACATGCAGTACTGTGAAAAAAAATTGGATACCGAGCGTTCGACCGTAAAGTTCACTAGTAAAAACCTTAGCATTCTTCTGCTGTTCTAGTGAGGTTTTTTCATGTCGTGTGGTTCAACTGAAGTGATCAACATCGGGGGAAACAAATGATTTCCCTTCTAAACCCTGAAAAAACATTGTCGTTGGTACAGTACTCATATGAGTATCACGGTGACAATTGTTGACGATAGTGCACCCTATAGGCTGGAGGCTAGATTAAATACCGGAAATGTTCCCCAGATTTGGATAATTGGTAGCAGATTCCCCTGATAGAATGAAAACACGGGATTTCAAGTGCTTTTTTCAACACAATAGTAATGTTCCCTTTTCTAATTGTATTGGGTTGGCCCGTAGATAATGGCGTTTTCCTTCACACAAAGTTTTACAGGAAAAGTTAGAGTCTTTTCCAATGCGTTTTATACTGTTTGATAGATAATTTTCCCCTCTATAAGGTTGTGTAACTGCCTTCCTACTATTTCTTGATTACTGTCGATTTTTCTTTCATTCAAATTGAGTGCAACAAAAATGTAAGATTTTGACAACACTTTTTTGCACTTCATCTCAGCTCTCAAATTACAGAAAAAGCTCAGAATTTGTGATATATATGACCAGAGGAAATCCTTCTCATGACAGCTTGAAGTTGGTTCAAGCGATCGGGAGATAATAATTCGGACCTTGTAATTTGCATTGCATTAGGGAATTCTTAGGGAGCGACTGTCTACAGAACCTTCTTACTAACAATCGAACGTCTAAAATCAACTGAGGGTGATGCTTGTTCATGACAAGGAAGCATTCCATGACCTCTAACGACTCTCCATCCTTTGGCATGAATCTCCATGGATAAGGTGATTCGGTGAGGTCTCAGTTGGACGGAATAGGGCATAAGGTTCAATGCTTGTCTGTGAAGTCCAAACTGAAATCTTCAAATCGCTCGAACCGTTGTAAGAATTTCTAAGAGACATGGGCCATATACTTAGCAACTAGGCCTGTGCGGTTTTGGTTTTTTCAATTAGAATTTGAAAAGAAAGGCTGCCGAAAATGCTCAATTTCGTCGACCACACTCCAGTTTTAGCGCTTGAATATTAATTGAAAATAAAAATTTTCGAAAAAAGTAGGAAATATCGTATAGGGAAGGCTCTGCAAATTGTACAATTGCAAAAATTTTCATCTTTAGTGCGATATTTTAAATGAGAAAAAAACGCCATCACTTATAGGCCAACCCAATACATCGGGGAGCCGTGCAAGTCTCCCGATAGGTGAGGTCGCCATCAATCTGAAAGCCTCACTGTCTCACTATAGGGACAGTAAACATGTCTAATACAGTTACTGTGATCCTTTCGTGTTGTTTTACTCAACTGGATTACTAAATCATCGTCTCTTAACGGATGCTACTGGGCCAAAGAATTTTTTGAATTTATAGCCTGGAAAAGTTGAAACTCTTCACAATACAGCCCTCAAAAAGGAGTTCCACGGATGCATATACGGGAAAGAGAATCACGAAATAGGTGATAAACCTTTCATATAATCCTCTTTCATACCACAAAAGTTGGTCGCTTTAATGATCTCTGCAAGCGGCGAGAACCCTGCGTGCCCAGATAACCTACCTGACCGGGAGACTTGCTACGCTTCCTTGTCTATCACAGCAATTGATTGCAGGTCAACTACGCATTTGGAACTCACCTAGATTCCCAGTGGAGGTAGAATGCTTGTCTTCAGAAAGAAATTACTCAGCGCCAAGCGATCTACTGTATTTAATGTTCCCACGAGAGTGCTGAGATATGGGTAAAGGCCAGACCCAGGCGGTAGTCGAGCTCGCATCTTTCGCGGATTGGGCGAGTGCCCTACCCATTACGCCACCAGGGCACCCCTCACTAGGGAGGTCGTTGAAGAGGTGCAGCGCTTTTTGAAATGGTACACGTACAAGTACAATTGCATGACGTACGTACAAGTACTTGGGCTACCGAAATGACGTTCATTTTTCCTAAATGGCTAAGAGGATACCAAAAAAAGGAGTGAAAATGAAATCTATGGCAAGTAGTTCCTATTGAGCCACTTCGCGCTGTGAATCGTCTGCAACTTTGACCAGTTGCCGACTGAAGGTTTTTATGAAGGAACTATTGAAATCGAGGTGAAAAATGTGTGGTCTTACTTGTGTCGACTTTTCGAGGAAGAATGGTTTTTTCAGCGTTTGGAGCAGCTCTCGGAACGCTCCACGTCCTGTACGACCTCCCTGGTTAGCACATGGCTTTTGTGCCATAGCCTTATTTAGATGCGGGTTCAAATCTCGGCTGGGTTTGATTTTTGCCCGTAACTCACCATTCAAACTGCGGCAAGACTACTTATTGAAACTAGTTTATATACGCATATGGTCTGACTTCAATTATAATTTACCAATTAATTTAATTTTCTGAACCTTACCGATTCTCCAGAGCAACTCCCCCCCCCCGACGGCTTTCCCTGGGACTGTTCCAGCAGTTTTTTTTACTATGCGTGAATCTATCGTCACTAGATGGTGACCTCAGGTGAGTTCAGTTATAGTTTACCAAATATTTCATTTTTGTGAATCTTACTGACTCTCCAGAGCAGCGAAGGCTCATCGAAGCCGCTACCCCTCCCCGTCCCCGTCCCGCTGACCTTCTCTGGGACTGTTCCAACAGTTTTTTTTACTGTGTGTGCACAATCTATCGCCACTACAGGGTGACCTTGAGTGAGTTCGATTATAGTTTACTAAGTATTTCATTTTTTTGAACCTTACCTATTCTTCGGAGTAACGAAGGCTCATTGCAGCAACCACCTTCATTACAGCAACCACCCCCCCCCTTCCACCGACCTTCCATGGGATCGTTCCAGTAGTTTTATTGCTGTGTATGCACGTATCTACCAGCACTAGATGGTGACCTCTAGTGAATTTAACTATAGTTTACTAAATATTTCATTTTTGAGAACCTTAACGATTCTCCAGAGCAACGAAGGCTCATTGCAGCAACCACCGGCCCGTCCCTCCGACCTTCCCTAGGATTGTTCCAACAGTTTTCTTACTGTGTGTGTGCACGAATCTATCGCCACTACAGGGTGACCTCGAGTGAGTGCCTGTCTGTGTGCGTGTGCCGTCGGCTAAGATCGATAGAACAAATTTCGAGCGCTCGAGATACAAATAAATAATCAAAGTTCATCGAGTAGTAAAGTAGTAACTAAGTGATAGGGGGATGGGATTTGTATAAGATAGAATGACACAACGAGATTGAAAACTAATATTGAAGATCGAATAGTAACACGTAATAACATGTTCTAAGGCAGAGAAAAGTCATACTACACACGCAAACGTTCCCGTACAAAAAGTATCTCAAAGTGAAATAATAATGTGAGAAACAAGGCAGATATCAGTAAGTGAATAACACGTTATGCACATCAAAAACTAACTATATATAAGTAAAATACTTGTAAGTTAAATATAATGACAGCCCGTTTGGCTGTAAGTGCTATTGCTCATAATAAGAGTAAATGTTGAGTAAAACAATGAACAATTCACAAGTACATATGAGAAACTCAAAGTGAATTCAGGTATAACACAATGGGATGAGCTGAACTTATCCACGTCAACACTGTAAACGTTTACAAGTTACCACAACACACACTGAACGAACGAACGAACGAACACAGTACTCAACTATGTGTATAGGTCGTAGAAATGATATTAAGTGTTATATGAGAGTGGTAACAAAACAATAGTTAGTAAAAGTATCTATCTCTACTTGGGAAGTGCCGATAAATTAAACATTGCTGGAGAATTAAGAACACTCCTTATGACACTTGAATCGACACCCTTCATCTGAATTTTCTGATATAACGCCGCGAAGTCGATCTCATCGGGATCCAGAGCAGGTACCGTATTCATTGGTGTGAGGTTTTCTACGGAAGCTTTCACATATCTGAAAATACCGTACACAATTAGACCGATGGCCTCACAAAAGAGGACAACAGTTCGATGGGATGAATGGGTCAGTCCCGGAAATCAAAGAACGTTCTCGTCGTTGTTCATAGAAGTTTTTTTGTTAGGGAAATTCCATTCATTTCCCCTAATATGTATGTACGTGGGTGTAACTGACTTGAGACACGCTTGTATTGATGCGATCATAGCTGGGGCACCAAATCCATGGGTGCATAGATTGAAATGCTGAAGATCGGCTTGAATTGTTTCTGGACTGACAACATCGCCCAATGACGTCATACTCAGTACATCGACGAATTCTTGGAGAATTTGCCTGGAAAAACAGCTGTTTTAACGGTCAATTTTTTGAATATTTTTCTCATCCTCATATGTTCGTTCTCACTCACACGGCATTTGACAAGCATTCTTTACGTCTCTGCATGTTTTCATTATTGATACGATGCTGATCGGTGACACGAGCCGCGAGGCTGGCAGCTGGGAACTCGGTCTCAGTGATGAAGGCAAAATCACGAGCGAGATGAGTGGCTTCACCTAGAAAAACGGGTCATTGAAAAATCGAGATGATGAGACAAGAACCATAAGAGAGTAGAAGAATGACCCAATTCATCTACATAAATACACAAATCAATACCTTCAACTAAAGATGTAAGTAGTGTAACAGTAGCTGATTTGCGACGACCAACTGGTAGGCTGAGACCCATTTTATCTAGCATGTCACGTAATTCTTTGCCACCGTTTTTTGATTTGGCTCGTCTTAAGATGCCACCAAGAATTGAGGCATTCAAATTTTCCGGTGGTGATAGACGTCTTTGTATCTGAAAAAAACCAGGCAGGAATTCCAACAAATTCCAACTTCAACATTAACAGGTTTTATACAGTTTTCGTTCCGTTGTTCCCTTCTCCTCCACTACAATCAACCATGACATGGACAAAACTCCGAGCACAGATCCACGGCGCTAATTAGCCTTGGCGCGAGCCTTGACGATATTTCGGCGACACATACCGATCATCCTAGATCGATCGTGATCGATCGACTGTGCAACTGTTCTGGTAATAATAGGTAACCTCCGTCCCCGCCGGGGGCGGTGCCCCAAGGTCTTTTGTCTGGCACCCTCCCTCACGAGAATGATCTTTTATAGCGCATGCCTCCACAAAACATTATGCGAAGGCCGCGCACCCATTTCTCACAGGGTCGCCTCCAAATTGGGTGCATAAATTGGGCTTTATTGTAACCACAGAAATCCCACATAACCAGAGATATGGCCTGAATGCATCTAGGCTAACTGGTAATGAAAGAATTGGGTATTGTTTTGGCATAGGAGATATTTTCTACGAATCTCCTGTGAAAGACCTTGAAAATGAGCCAACAAAGGCATAGAGAAATGGCAGGAAGTACGGTAATTGAGTAACTCATAGTTTCAATAGGAGTGCCTCGAGGCCAATAGGTTGTAGATGAGTTGAGAACGTAGTTTTCAAGACCAAAGAACTCAGAATTCATAAAAAGAGTTCAAGAAAAGTTAACTGGTTTAACTTACCTCAGCAAGAGTAACTTTGTATTTGCATGTGCTGCTGAGGAGCGATAGACGGCCAGGAACTGAGCAGAATACATCATCTAGACAAACAGAACCGATAGGATGAATACGTGGGCTGACAGAACCAGTACTTGTAGTCTCTTCAGTAGCACACTGAAGTGAACTACTGTCGGAATCTGAAAGATCGTCTTCGGTTTCAGCTTCGAAGCGAACTTTCTTGTTACTAGTAGCTGAATCGAGAGTAGTTACAGCGGCACGTTTCAGATGAGTCGGTGATGTCGGTGGTTCGGGAGATTCAGTAAGTGTAGGACTGAATGCACCTTCTTGAGCGACTCGTAAAGCCGTTCCAATACGGTCGATCACAGAGCGATCCTTTTGACTTGTAAGTATTAACATGACGTCGAAGAGGGAGCGACCAATCGCCGCTGTATGGTACAGGCAGAATGCCGCGAGGCAAGACACTCGCTCGTTCACAGGCGAGCAGCGCGCCAATAGATAGCGCGCGATCCGCGAGACACAGACAGCAAGGTCGGCCCCGGGTCATACCCCGCTCTGCCGGGGTAATCATCGGCATTTCTCACTTCATCTATTTGGCACCCAACCTGACCTGGGACCAACTCGGTACTACTCGCCGAGGGGTCCCTTGTCGCGATTCTCGTCTCCAGCATGACCCTATGAGGCCGTTCCATCTCGAGATCTGGATGGTCCATCCCTAGTTGAACTGTATTCTTCTGACTCGCTCTTCGATGGCATCTCTGCCATCTGAATATCCCATTCGAGACCTTTGAGAAGCTTCTTATCAGACCACAGCTGTCAGAATTCCTTCCGCGCGCGGATACGCCATGCCTACAACAGCGCGCCCTTTTGCTTCCCATCCCATTTTGGTACCATCAGCGTTCCTCAGAACTCCTATCCCCATCTGGTAACTCTCAGGAACTGTTCATTGGCTTCACATCAACCTGCTGACAATGCTAGTTCTGGCCAGTGGTTCCATCATTCCCTCACTTGATTTCTCTTGCGACCGGGACTGTCCTGATGCTCAGGGTGAACCAACTGTGGAAAGAGGTAGAAGGGGAGTTCTAGGAAAAGAAGTAGGAGGGAAGCGAGACAGAGAAAGAGGGAGCGCTGTCTCTCTCTCCATTATTTGCTCGATCGATTATTGGCCGCGGGCACCTATTATCTGTGCACAGTGCAAACGATCCACCACCACACCACCGAGCGTCGGAGCGGAGCGGAGGTACTCCGACGGTCGTCGCTGGTGTCTCCTCCCTCACCTCATACGTTGCGTCGCCCTGTGCGCCCGTGGTCGCTGTGCTCCCTTGTCTCTCACACTCCCTGCCTGACTGTCTCACACAGTGTCGACACGGACTCACACACATACACACACATACACCACTTCCCCCTTCACCCCTACCGACCCGACCCATGCCCCCATCCACCACCCCGCGGCAACCTGGGTCAAGGCCGTATGACCGTCCGTCCGACCGTCGCACACGTCAATCCCGCACCAGCCTCTTACTTCAACCAACATCAACCAGCCATTCAACTCGTCAGCTTATCGCTCTCAGGGCAAAATAAAGATAGTGACAGCGCACCCGAGCACTCGAATAACTAACTGGTGGCTAAAACAAATGATAACTGACAGGAAATCACCAACCCTACAAAAACAATGCCACTATATTGATCGGCCAATTGTGCTTAAAAACATCTTTGTACCGTGAATAAATAAACAAGGAATTACTACAAAAATATCAACTCTCGGAATTTCTAAGCCATGACAGGTCATCACGGCCCGAATAAAGCTATATATCCCCTAGGTGGTGTATTCGGTCCGAGAACATATCTCAGAGAACAAAAAACACTGACCGGTACGTTAGCTGGCTCGCAATTCATCGTACAGCCCATAAAAACACTCAAAAAACCACGACGACAGCAAATGCGTGGCGCGTCCCAAAACAGGGTTATAACAGTTCACCTTAGTTTACCTGTACTTTTGTAAGCACACATTCTAGCCTTTTATTGTGGTGTTTCAGGTTTGCCAATTCTAAAAAAATAAGCCTAGTGCTTTCTAAATGACATTCATGGAATTGCAACAGGGGCCTGGTAAAGATAAAAAGTAAACTGCGACCAGGGTGGTTTGGAGCCGAAGGGACAAGCACCCACAGGTGCTACATTGAGCATAGAACCGTTTATGAGGTTATTTGCACTCATCGATATACAAGTACAGTAGTATGAGTGCCGGTGTAGACCATTAACGACAAGCGTCGCCCCACCTGAGTCCAGTCCTCCATCATCGTGATGCCTTTGTTGGCAGAAGATTATCCTGGGAAGAAGACATCACTTGCTACAGAAGAGGCTGACGTTGTCCTTAGTATTGCATACACCTATAGGATTACTGTATCGTTGAGAATCAATGTTTTGGTCGGTACATCCAATATTTATTACAAATAAACACTAGAGTCGTGGTGAATGAAAGGTAAGTAAAACATAAAACACACGTCTAGCAAAAGAGCAATATTAACTGCCTTGAAAAAAGTAGGAAAGTCAAATGAGTTGAAAATTGAAGGATACTAGGGGATCGGCTAACCTACGGGTACATAAAATGCAACAACAAGAGCTGCTGTAAGAAAAATCTAAACTACAATAAATAAGAATAGTTGAAAACCTACTGTTCCTTTGATCTAAACTAAGGAAGAAATGAAGACAAGCGAGTCATTTGGAGAACTGCATAGTAAGTTTTTTTTCACAAGAATATGGGGTTCTAGTCGAAGAATCGTTTCTTATGCTGAGTGCTAGTGAAACGTCTTTTTATTTGAAGAGATGAGAGATACATATAATCTGTTGAAAACGATATTTTACGATATATACAGGACAGTTATTTAAAGAGGTGGCTCATCTCAGTGGAACTGGTTAATGGTTAGGGCTAGATTTTTTTATACTACTAACATTATTTTACCGAATTTCATGATCGTATTGTTTTGAGGTAGAGCAATTTGGACTTTACAAAAATGAGAAAGTAGCTCCTCTTGTCTTGCTGATAAGTTGTCCTAGAATGAGATTTTTCGATTCTCCACGTGGAAGCTGACACAAATACGAGTCATGTCAAGGAGAGATTGCGATTAAACACACTTTTTGGAACAAAAATATATTTGGTAGGCTGTATGGTGGAGTGTATTCGCTCGGGAATTTCCTTATGGAGGGATTTGCTGATAGCTGGCTGCAAATATCTTGGTGCTTCTGAGAGATTTCCCAGTTTGTAAGAGAAAGGAAGTACAATTCCATCTCGCTAAATTATCGAGTAATGTGCGCATTAGCTTGTTTTGATTGTCTGCTCAAACCTCAAAAGGAAAGTTCGTACTACTAGTCAGTGTTCATAGGTTCGTCAGAGGAAGTATACAAAGCCCTTTGATGGGCTATAGCACTGAACTGTGCCCACAAAACGCGTAACCTCTCCTTTTCCACCATTTTATTATCGTTGGGTGCATATTCGAGCCTGATAACTCCACATAATATTGCACATTAATCATACAGTACTTTGGGCCCCTTCTTAGCGTTTTTTCATGACTACGAAAGGTGTGATGTCTTACAACATTTCAGCTGTCAAGCTAAGGCGGATATCGGGCTCTGCTGGAAAATATCATTTGACGCACCCTGCATTGGTTCTTTACGATCGCAGCTTCAGAAGTCTCGGTCAAAACCTTAATCTCGTGCTAGAACTTTGCTTACATTTTCAATTTGATCTTCTTTGCTTTTCCCAACACACTAAAACCGCTGGCTGCCTATGAATTCCTAGCCATTTTTCTTTCGCATGGACAAATCTCAACAAAGATCTGATCTGAGTTCTGAAGATATGGTTGTGAGAAGTAACTACTGCTAAACTATTATATCTGTTGAGCTTAAAAGAATACTTGTCCTCAAACTGAGAAGGTGTTTTAGACAGCGTGTACAATGAAACACAATACAATACTCTTACTACTAGTACCATACACTTGTTTTCTACCTCTTCTTATTCGGTAGTATGGGCAACAACTATACCCCGAACCGTTATCGCTGACTCCCTCAAACTTTTGTCATCTACAACTCTAGCTTGAGCATGGGATCTACCAAGGCCAAAGTAAAGAGCGATGGGGCCGTTTACCGAACAAACTTCCGGCAGGGTACAGCATCGTTGTGTGAATCACATAGGGGGGGGGAAGGTCGTACTGTTCTGGGTCTGGGGAAGGGGCGTCGTATGTGCCTTCGAGAGAATTTTGTCATGTTGGTTTCCCGGTTTCCGGTTGCTGACTTTTTGCTTGATTTTTCCTGTTTCATGTGCACTGTATACCCCGCGACCCCCCCCCCACGCTCGAAGGAAAACTATGGGTGGAAAAAAACTGAAAAATGGGGAGATCTGTAGGTAGGTGTTGGGGGGAGGGGGAAGGAGTGAGGGGGCGTACCTACACCACCACCTCACACATCACGATGCTGTACCCTGCTGGAAGGGGTTCTCGCTTGTGAAACGAATGGATGATGGAGCCGCTTTCATTACGGCAGTGTCGGACTGCATTTTGCAAAAAAAAAACCTGCTGAAGCTCATGCCATGGATGGCTTTGCCTTTGCACCTGTATAGCTCAGACATTGCTCCTTCCAAGTCCTAGTTATTTCCTGAACTAGACCTTTACATGGAATTACCTCGAGCCCATGCATGTCAAAATCCTTGACATCCATATTTGTATTGCACTGGCCTGGGTGTTGCAGGAATGTATTCCTAAGGTGCCCAAATACTGGCAAAGATTCCGCAATAGCAGTAGACGTCATATCGACTTTATAAATCCCTTTACAGAGGATTTAATTCAATAATATAACAGGTTTTCTCGGCTAGCCTTGTACCATATTTGTTTCAGAGCCAGGGCACGCCATCGCTGTGATCACCACAAGGGGGGGGGGGTCGTATTTGACCGGCTGCCAGTAATCTGGTCAGAAAATTTCTTTTCGATAGTTTCTCTTTCTCTTGTTTCACGGACGCTGTAAAGAGGGGGGTCGTACTTGGTCATTTTTGGGAGGGGGGGTCGTATTTGGTCAGTTCATGGACGCACTACTATTTCCGACACTTGAAAATGATAGTTTAATTCTGCTCCCCCCCCCCCCGCTCGACGGCTCGGTTCGATGAGGAAGGACGTCGTACCAACTCCCAAAAAGGGGGCTCGTATTTTAGTATGGAATTAGGGGGGGTCGTAATTTTCAGAAAATGATCACAACGCGATGGCGTGCCCTGTTCAGAGCGTGCTTTTCCTTCTTCATGGACTGTAGCAGTAAGAGAGATGGTAACGTTAGCAGTCGCTGACCATTGGCCTGTTATTTATCAACAAAATATAAAAATAGCTTTTGAAGCAACAGTTTTCAGTGCACCATGAAGC